TCTGTGTTAATAGATTACCACGTCTGTTACTGAACATGTTTTTCAAGAACTCTCCGAGGTAACAAATTACAACGTCTGTTACTGAACATGTTTTTCAAGAACTCTCTGAGGTAACAGATTACCAAAGTTGGTAATAGATTAAAATAGAGTCTCTTGCTTGGAATCAGGCTAAAAAAATGAAGTTGTTATCATGTTAATTGATTACCACAAGAGATAATCGATTACCACAGAATGAAAGGCAATTCTAGGACTTTATAAACACATGATAATCGATTATCCCTAGAGATAATTGATTACCCTGGACAATTTTATGTTTCTAGTTCAATTTTAAAGAGCAAGTAACAGATTACCATCACAGGTAATAAATTACTTCTGTTATTACTTTTTATAACTGGATCACGTCTTGCACTTTATAAAAACAATTTTTTTGAAATTAAAAATAATCTTTTAGAGAACTTTTAGAAATCTTCTGAAAAGAAAACATTTTAGAAAGGAATACTTTCAGAAACAATATTAAAGTGTTACCAAATTTTTTTTTTGAAATTTAAAGAAGTACAAAGACTGAACATGAATTATTGAAAGAAGAAATTCAAGAACTGTATTCAAGAGTGAAAGATCAATATCTTCACAGAATTAGGTGATATTACTATGATCTTTAAACTTGTATTTTCGTTTTGATTGATGTATCTCTTGAGATAGGGTGTCTCAACAAGAGATTTTTAAATTTTGAGTAGGATTTCTTAAATAATTTCTGTGGGGTACAAAATTTTTGATTGTTTTCAATCTTGGGATGTCAAGATTGATATTTGTTTGAATTCTTGTAATATTGTGTGTGCAAGGTCTTTGTAAAACAATATTATAGTGACTGATCTTTGGTTTAATGGGGTGCTAAATCAGGGAAAACTGGATGTAGGTCAAGTGGATGGCTGAACCCGTATAAATTTCTGTGTTCTTTATCTTCTTACCCTTATCTTTAAGAATCTTGTTGATTTCTTGTTTAAAGATTTTAAAGATTTGTGAAAAACAAAATTTCAATTACAGTACCAACTTTGATTATGATTCTTGTAATTGAATTTGATTAAAAAGAAGGTCAGTAATAAACCTTGTAATCTAATGTTCTTTGTTATTCAAATTGCATAAAAGTTGTATTTTAGATTCTTTATAGGTTGTTTTCAAGAATTGTGCGAAAAAAGAGTTATCTTATGATAGAATCTATTCAACCCCCATTCTAGATTCTAGTACACTAGGACAAACATGTGATTGTGAGTGTGATAATGTGATATGAGAACAAATGACATGATGAGACATGACAAGTGAATTGTTGAGTCCATGAACATGTGAATGTGTGACATGCATCATATGCATCTATGTGACAGGGGGTACAATATCGAGTACATAGTTAGGGAAAACCCTTCGAGTGAAACATCTTGAAGGAGTCCTAGGGGATAGCGCGGTTTGGAAGGCTCAGTTCTACCTGTTTGTGTGCATGGGACATATCTAGTGTGACTTCGCTATCCCGACAAGACCTTAGCAGTAGATCCTTCTAGTTGAGAGTGCGCGGTTGAGCCGACATGTACTCCTAAACTACTTCAGGTATGTTGCTTCAACAGCATACCACGTGATATGTGATTGGCGCCACATACATGCATTTATGTGTCAAGTCCATGACATTATTGTATGATAAGTGATCGTGCATGTGTTATTATTTTATGTATGGCTTATATGTGTGCCTTGTTTGTGATTGCTTTCTGTGTGTGTTATCTAACAATTTTTTTTTGCACTTGAACCCAAGTGAGATGTTTCTCACTCTCTTGTTTATTTGTGTATGTTTAAAATTGTATTGCAGGTGATCATCAACAGGTGGTTGTTAGTGATGAAACTTAGGCTTCTGTATTGGGCGTGCTCTGATTATGACATGTGAAACCAAGGGATAGAATAAGATGTATTTTATTACTTTGTAAATTGGATTACTTATATGTTATTCCGTTCATTAATTATAATTAAATTGTCTATTTACTTAGGTTATTTTGATAATTGAATTACTTCACTATGAAAGTGTTTTAAGATGTGAATGTGAGCCTTTTACCCTTATGTTATTTGAGATGTTGTTCTAATTACAAAGATTTCTATTTACTCTTATTATTTTATATAATTATATATTTATGTGTGGGGTAGAGGGTGTCACAATAAACAATACCTAGAAGAATAATGAGTATGAAGAAAAATATATGAAATAGAAACTGCCTCTATAGCCTTAGACTCACTTTGTCACTTCTTATATAGTGGATAAACAATTAGTCCATTTGACAAATAAGTAATAGAAACTTTTAATACCAATGGTAATAAAATAATTATCATGCAAACGATAACAATGAAATAATTAACACTTATATGTCATTATTTTCACAACTTAAGCATTATATCGGTTGGAAAATGGAAACCACCATGGGAACCTTTTTGTCAAATTAAACACTAATAGAAGTTCACTTGGTACTCCTGG